ATATTTTGATACTTAGATATCTACTCTCAACCAAACAATCAGGAATTTGTGAATTCGTTAATGCTTTTTAATTGTCTTGAGTGTACTCCAATTGTTTCTTCTGGGTTGAAAGTAACTATGGGCCTCTGCATTTTTGGATATCCGTTCCATTCTCCATTTAAACCTTTTTATTTCCATTTTCTCAGTTTATGTGAAATTGAGGGCTAGATATCCATGCTAGATATTCTGATTAAACTTCTTAATTCTGATCGAAGATTAATATTCTGATTTGCCATGGAATACTATCCATGCTAGAAATCCATGCACAGAAACAAGTGTGTATCCTCATTTTGGATTGTTGAAATTCAAACAAGTTTAGAGTTTTTATTTCAAAAACAATTATTGGGGGTAAGAATCTTGGAATTCATCAAGGGGAAGAAAAGCAGTCATGAAAAGCATGTCTAAATTGATATGAAAGGAGAAGTTTACATCAGCTTTGGACCCCCATGAGTGACAAAAATATATTGTTAGGCAGTCATGAGATTTAGCTTTCAATGCTTCAATAACTGCTGAAAAATCCTCATCACTGAGGCCATATGACTTTGCAACCTTGTATGGTTCATTTGCTGCAGCTGCAATTGGAGTGGACTGCGAAACAGATTCTGCTAATCCCAAAGCAAGTCTGAGGTCCTGTGTCACCATTAGCTTCTGTTATAACATGAATATATAATTATGGCACACGTCTTTGAAAAATGTCGATTATTTTGATAACTTACGAACCTTCTGTTGATGCTTTAAGGGAAAGGCTGTGGGATACTGGGTTTTAACCATTGATGGGCTTTAAGTGAGTACATTGGTGCACAAATAGCACCCTGTGAGACCACCTGCAATACCGCGAAATAATGTAAAAGGGGGTAAAAAAAACCAAAGACAACATTCAATCATCCACTCAATTCATGCATGTAGAGTTCAGTTATTACCTCAACCACAACATTTGGGTCAAGTCCTGCTTTCTTGCTAAGAAGTAATCCTTCAGAAAATGATGCCATAATACTACAAGGTTGCAACAGTAAACATTGCTTCATGCTAGTTATCAAATGCACCAAAAGCATGGACTTAAGAGGTAAAAGAACTATGCAGAACCTTCCCATGATCATGTTAACAACAAGTTTCATAGCAGCACCATTTCCAACCTCCCCAAGGTAAAATCTTGCCTGGAGAAGAAACACATACATGAAAAATTACTTGCAATGGTTAACTGGATTAACGGGAGATTAAGAGATAGTGTGTATAAATGTGTGTATGAGAGAGAGAGAGAGACAGACACAGAGACAGAGACAGAGAAGACAAGAATACCTTCCCCAATATGTCCAAGAGTGGAGCAACTGAATCATATAAAGATCTGTCACCCGAAAGATAAAAGCTATTGCCTTAGTTTTTACGAGTCCCCCACATCACCATGTTATGTGATACAGATATCATTGGTTTAAAATGATTATATTCTGAACAATAGATGAACCAGCAAAGAGGAAACTATTCGAAGATAACTGAGGATATAAAACTTGAACATCAAAATTTTGCAAATATTTTAGTATTTGTTGCTAAATTGTTGGAATTTAGTCTACATTGGATTAAACAACATATTTACCATACTAAAAGATAATGCATAAACTTTTTACCTGCAGTAAGAAATATCAGCTATCCATCTTCAGCAGGCTTTTTGGAACCTGAAACTGGAGCCTGTAAAGAAAGCAATGAAGCTTAGTGAACAGAAATTCTAACATTATCACACTGCTGAAGCCACTCAATCAACTTTTACTTGGGATGAGTTGTAAGCATTTTAGCAAAGAAAAGCCAGATTGAAACGTTACCTCTAGAAATAACACCCCAGTTGCTTTGATATGTCCATTGATCAATTTAGAAGTGGCACCATCAACCGTTGAAATGTCTACATAGCTCTCAATGCCAATCCAATGTCATCAATTCAAGGATGCTATGTGGGACCCATTCAACTAAATAAAGTAAGCAGACATTGACACTATATTTACTGAATCACCAATTAACAGCTAAAATACTTGGATGAAATTGTTTTACCACTAGAAACTTGATATTGTTACACAAAAAGCTTCTAGTATGGCGTTCACTGCCCTGAGGAGGTATATGTTTCTCAACAGGAAAAACTTACAAATGAGAGCAAGGGAGAAATGTTTACCCTTTTCCTGGACCCATCCCACTCACAGCTCCATTCTTTCAACAGGCAACATCAATCTGGTACAAAGCAAACGTGAGTTGCCAGATCTTAATAATAGTCCAAGAAAAATAAATATAACAATGATAATTATAACAGAAACATACGCACTGCACTTTCAGGACCAGCAAGCATGGCAAATGTGACGTCACAGTTTGCAGCTACTTCCTCCGGAGAGGATCTATACCAGCACAAAAGGACAAAACAAGAAAACAACAGAACCTCTTACTTGATAGTTTTAAGGTTAAACCTGGTTATGTTGAAGAGCTCTGGACAAAAACACCAGTAACAACAACAACCAATCTTTGCAGATGAACTTCAGAGGCTGCAAGATTCAGACAAGAATTATAGAAGTACTGAATTTCCCTAGAATGAGTTCACTATATCTATTTTGTGGAGGATATATAATGTAAGGTATCCTCTTTATCCTCTTTTCATTGAGCATGCAATTGAATTGACAAAGAGACAGAAAGCACCAGATCAGGAAAAGAAAAATATGAGAACAGACATAGATCATGATCCTATTTATTAAGGAAAATGTAGCAGTTGTCTCCTAAGGGAGGTGACTGACCCTGTAAGTACATCTACAAACAGTCAATCATATAACTGATCTGCCTAACTTGGTATTAACTCATACTATATCAAAATGGATGTTTATATGTCATAAAGAAAAGGTAAAACTCCAAGGATCCAAACTTTAAGGAATTCCATAACAGCATGTTAGTGCTACAAAAAACTAATTTCACGGCAGGGATATTGAAATCTCACTTTGCACTAAGGCTGATGAGAAGATCACATTTTCTCTTTGTCCTGTTCCATACTGTCACATCACATCTGCAACATTCATGTAAGAGGATTAAGCTCATAACACATCACTTTTAAAGTTGAATCATCTTTGATGTTTAAGAAATTGAAATTATAAAGGTAAATTATTTTTTTTACTCAAACTAATGCTAGAAGCTTTATGTCAAGGAAAGGGAGAGAATAGGATCCAAAGGAAATAAATCATAGCATCTTGTAGTTCCATAGTCAGCTGTTGTGAATGGAAGCAGCATCTTTTAGGACACAATTTTACTTTAGTTTGATTGTTCTATCTGCACTAATTAAGAGGAGAAAACAAGTCATAAACTGCTTTTATGAGATTCTGTGCCATTGGTGAAGCCATAATTCCAAGACCCAGAAAACCAACTCGGCCTGAAAATTTATGTGTTGCATTCAGCATAATCCTTGCAGGAGTTAGATAGCACTTGGTGACACTCGTACCTTATAATGAATTGAAAATGCTTTAGAAGTTAAGCCGGTATTACTTCTCTTACTTTGGCATCAATATCAAATATAAGGACCTATATCATGACAGTACTCGAGAAAACATTCAGTACACATTCAGTGAGATTCCTCAGGCCCTTAATGCAACACAAACCTTAGCAGGTGACCTCTCCAGAGGCTCGAGCAATGCAGCCTAACAATAACGTAACCTCTTACATGGCGCTAGCCCTGATTGTGCAAACAATATCTGCTTTCTATCTTTCGGTACTCCTAAAAATTCAGTGCTTAATATACCTCCACCTCCCCAATTCCATGGTGATCCCCATTAAGTTAAAAACATAGCTGAATAATACAAACATGCAGCCTGAATATCCATATGGACCATATCAGATACACCAACCTAAAGTTATAGAAAATTACCATCTAAGGAAAGTGTTGACAAAAAAAAGCACCTTAATCGATAAACTAAGCCATTACCAAATCCATAAATTCCAATTTCTGAATAATTCGTCACGCTGGTTCTGGTTGCAAAGACACCCAACACAATTTAATGCATTTTGTATAACAAATCCGTAACTCTTGAACCAAGCGAGAAGGCCAATCCAACTGGCTCTAAAAGAAAGAATGATTTTCTAGGATGAAGCCTTTTTCCTTAATAACTGGTAGAAAAAGAACCAACCATCAAAGAAGAAACGAAATATATTATAAAAACACACACAACAAAACATGACAAAAAAGTAGAGGAATAAAAAGTAATACCTTGGGATGAAGCATCAGGGGCCTGAGGAGAGCAAGCCCTGAAAGAAACAAAAAGCAAGGGTTTTGAAGGAAAAGAAAAAATGGGTGTTGCTCTAAAGCTGTTGGGGATACGAGGGCAGAAGGTTGAGCACAATGCCATGAATGTTGAAGATAAGATGTTGTAACAACGCAAGTGTTGGGCTCAACCAACAAGGTGAAAGTCGTCAGCCCATTTTAAACTTGGGGATATGTAATCCAAGGAAAAGAGTGTGTGTCAGAAACTCGCATTTCCATGCAATGCTTTTGTACGCAAGTGTTCGTATAAATCGAAAAACAATTAGAGCTGATAGAAATATGCAGTATATTAATAGTATTTCATTTTATTAGTTCAACCAATCCCTTTACCAAAGTGAATAAATTTAACTAATAATACTGGTTTTCTCATTTTTGGAGTAATGGTTGTAATGTAACAGGAATTGTATAATAATGCCTGACCAGAAAAAAATTAATATAAACTTTTAAAGCTTGATTTTGTTTTTCATTTTTTGTTTTGTTACTTGTCTTTTACTTTTAGTTTTTTTTTTTTCTTTTTACTCAAAAATAAAACTAAAAAATAAAACAACAATCAAATCAAGATTTTTTAGAAAGACAGCCAAATATCCCAATTGAGCATATAATCCCTACAAGATCTTTAAAAAATTTATATTCTCAACACTGATTAGATACATTAAAAATTTTATTCCTAAAATGTTCTACACAAATTTAAAAGTAAAATTGTGGTGTTAAAAATAGAAACAAATGTATAAAAAATATGGAGCCTCAGAACCCCATTCCTGGTTTAGCCCATTTCTCTTTTCCTTTTTGTACACAGATAAGTATTAGGTCATTGGGTCTGTTGTGACATAAATGCATTTGTTAGGCAACTCTGTCAAATACTAATCTTCCCCATATTCAAGGTAACATTTTCAAGTTTGGTAAAATCTACACTAACACCACCCCTTCTATTCATGGGCTTCAATCTGGAAATAGATGTTTGAGCAATGGAATAATAAGCTACTCAAGCTTCAACAAGATCATGTAAAGCCCGACAACATCAGGGGCAATATAAAGATTGGAGCGATAATAGAATAAGCAGATGTTTCATCTCGGAAGGTGGTGTTGGATGCTAGCAGAGGCCTGCATTCAGCTGAACATGGTGAAATAATCAGAGCTTTGTCATTCTGTAGGATTGAGTAGATCCCATTGGAGAACCTAAAAATTAAAAAAAAAAAAAAAAAAAAAAAAAAAGCAAGTTATGACAATGATTTTGCTGCAAAAACTAAAGAAACATAATAGTATTAGGTATTGAATACTTGCTACAAAAAGTGGTGCGGTTCCATAGTACAGTTAGCTAAACAAATATTGTCATCAGTTTGAGCTTAATCTTGATTTGCCATTTTTCTGCCTGCACAGAGCAAAATCAAAAAGGGGCGAATCATAATAAGTGGTGCAAACAAATTTAGAAACCGGGAATTAAAAAATGAGCAACCAACCAAAACGAATCCTTCTTTTCCTGAGCTAATAACTCTTCAAAAGAAATGTCAGCAAATTCAGTGTCTGTGCCTTCCATCAGCTCATCAGATTTGGCCTTTAACTCCATGCAAGCACAAATTTCAACCATCTGAGAGGAAGAGACAGATCAGAACCATGATAATATCTCATCTAATTGCAATAAGAGACCAAATAAACAAATGGAGGAAAAAGATATTTCAACTATCATTTTTACTCATTTGTGTGAAGACGTAGTACGGCAACTAGACAAGACTTTATATTCTTTGGATGCGTCACATTTATTCTCTGAGGATGTGCACTTTCCTTCTTTTTTTTTTTTTGGTTTTTTTTGGGGGGTTGGGGTTGGAGAAGTTGTTTCTAACCACAGAAAAGCAACATGTTGGAAGCACGATATATAACAAATGCCTTACACATTTTACCTTTGTAAACACAAATTAAATTGAAAATTGTGTGAAGTCTACTGTTGTTGCAAATGTTTGCAACCTAACAGAATTTAAGCCCTATCCAAAAGGCAATTAATCTTCCAAATTCAACCACATCATAATAGCTGTTAAGCTGAAAGTATGGAACAGCAATGACAAAAGAAAATTCCACGAAACACATGTTGTTCCTAGGTTAACAAGAATCCATTAAGATAACTGCCAAATGAAGAGTGATTGAGACAAACAAGCTTTATTGCAATAATTTGAGCAATTGACTTCTATTGTCCTTCCTCAGAAACTAGATAGACAACAGAATTAAAAAATTTACAATAAATAAACTATCAGAATATAGGCCTCAACTGTACCTTCTTGTATGCTGGAGATAGTTTAAGTTGCTGTTGGAGCAAATTATAGACAAATGCATCCTCTTCTAATCTCTTCTGTTCCATTTCTATCTTGTATATCTAAACATGCAAATCTATCGACTATTAGAAGAGATCAAGATGAATGATAACAACCAGTTCACACCATAAGCTTAAGTTTATCTTATGGTTGCTCACCTGCTGCCACAGGCGATCAATTGAAGATCGATCTGCTTTGAATAGTAGAGCCTTTGTTATTGTAAACTTACGTTTGATGACCTCAGACCTGCAGCAAGGCCATGGCAAGGAAATTAATCATGCCAACATTCAAAGGACAGATTAATGGTGAAAATATGAGGCGAAGGATATAGGAAACAGTGCCGATATCAAATTCAAAAGCTGGGAAAAACATTAAAAATCATGTTTTAAGGAGTGAAGAAAGAAATAGCAAAACATTTCAATATTCAAATATTGCATTATGGAAACTCTTATAAATAGTACCAGTACAATTTGCCAGTGGGAGAAAAGAATACAAGTAGTTAAGGACTTGGAAGGAAGAAAAAGAATGGGCAAGCTTATCACCTAGATCAAAACTGTGCAGCATGTTTTCCAAAAAAAAATAATAAAAACAACAACAAAGATAAAAGGAAATAATTGAAGAAAAACCAAATATCCAGATTCCTAAAACAGGACAATAACTATGAACTTACTTGTGTTGCAGCTCATTTCTGGCCTCAATCAAGCAATTAACAAATTCTCCAACCTACATAAGGGAGGATAGTATGTCACAATTGTTGCATATCAAAACCCACTACAGATTCCGAAATATATGCCATAATAAAAAGAGGCAGAGGGGGTTGCAATTGTTGCACAATCAAACCCACTATAGATTCCAAAATATATAACAGAATAGAGAGGTGCAGGGGGGGTCAAGGTATCTCATAGCTTATCAATGCAACTACCAATGAATTTTAAAATTACTTTATAAAGAAATTTGTATTCTTATGTGGACACTCTGATGTCTATAAGTGTTTAATATGAAGTAAAAGGCACGAGTTAAACTAATGCTGGTTCATGTTTCCAAGTGTAAATAGACCAAGAAAAGGCAAAGAGGAGAGTATAAATTTAACATTTTGGACAATAAAAAGGAGATTACAAATTCCATAAAATACTGGATAGTAGTTTTTATTTTTTTGGCCTCAAGTACAGGATAGTAGCTTAATACCCCAATTCTTAACATACCTTGTGAGTGCAGAGCATAAACAACATAGGATTCTTAGAGAACTTACAGATATTTGTAACTTTAACAGTCCAGTATAGTGTTAGATACTGAGACTAAAATTTGTCCGGGGAAGTTATTTACAATCAATCATTCGGATGTCACATGAAAAGCATGCAACTTTATTTAACTGTAAACGACTGTTTAAAAGATGAGGTTGGGATGCCAGTAAGATCTCAGCTTGAATCTGGCTTAAACTTGAGAGCCTTGAGTTGGTATCAGGGTGTAAGCCTTACCTCCTTATTAACATTGGTATGAATCTCACTCTCTGCTCAAAAGTGCACCAGCCAATTTCAATACAACAATAAAATAGCCTTATATTCCCACCTTATGCCAGCTCTATGTTTCACATCAATTTCCAAGTATCAGAAATAATATAATTACATTCATATGTGGCTGGAAAAAATTGTACCAAATACCAAAATCTTTTTGTACTTTGCTCCTCTAAGTCTCTAGAGCAACAATATCGATTTGGCCAATAATATCTCAAGTCCATTGATGCTTCCAGCACATGGTTTACAGAAGTAAGTGAAAACTCCACCTCCCAATGGTCCAAAGTTTACCAGTAAGAACTTGAATCTGCAAACTCAACTAAAATCCTCAAGTTTCCCTTAATTAAATCCTACTCATATGAGACCTTAAAACTAGCCCCATACTTTCTATTATTCAACAGGAAACATGAAAACTTCACTATGATCTTGTAGTAGCAACTTTCTATAAGGCCCACATTTTTTAAAGAATACATGTAGAATTGACTCATGCTTAATTTAGAAGTTCAGGACTAATTCAGAATCTATCTTCTCAAACTCTGTACACATATTACTAACATATAATTATAGCCTCACCAAGATGAGAACATAACATAAGTCTTTCTGACTATCTCAAATGCAGGCAGACAAGAAAGCCATCAACCTAGTTCCTTTTCAGAAATAAACAGATTTCCTTACTCTTAACGAGCAATTTAGTTACTAGCATCATCTCACATTCAGCATTTCTGTAATTTCTTAAGAGCTATATTCCATTTTTAAATGACAAAACTTTTAATCTGTGCTCTACAGAGCAGAAATCCGTAAACTCCCCATCAAGATGCCATCAATCAACCACATAATTTGAGGGTCATCTAAGCTAAATGGTAAATAAACCCTTGTTTTCAAGTCATGTCAAATGTGGCCTAGATTTCCTCAAATGATTTTGTATCTTAATTCATGCCAAAGTTTCTCAGATTCTCTTTCCCCCTCTTCTCTTGCCTTATGTTATGTTGTTGCAGAAAAGAAACAACATAAAGTCATCAAGAATTCCAAATTGGAAAAGCCTTACCTCAATATAAGCAAAGAAAAGAAGTTTAAAACTATTGCTTGAAATGAGAAAAGACTTAATCAAATTAGCCTAAAGATAGTTAAAGAATTAAAAAGCACTTAAAAGATATCTTAAAAAGCATCAATGAACTCAGGGCTTAGCTTAGTCGGTTTATCCAGTCACAAGATTACATTCAGCATGTCACAATTCAAATCCCATCACCGGCAACCCTTCCTTTAATCCTCTCTTTGTACCCAAAAAAAAAAAAAGCAACAGTGGAACTTTCTTTAGTACCAAGATAGCCCATATACTAAAGCAACATTCAAAAGCAAAGTCTTAAACCACAATAAATACAAACTACAAAAGAGTACCCTTTATAATTACTTGCTAAATAAATTAACAGATAAAAAAAATCAAAAATCAAAATTTTAAGGTGGTAATAACAAGGAAAAAGGAAAAAGAAAACCAACCTGAGTCAATGTTAATCCTTTGTTTTCATGACACTTAACAAGCCGATCATACTGTCGCTTGATCTTCCTTTGCGTTGCGCTTCTCGTTGATGTAAAGGGGTACAAGCAAACCAGGTCCGGCTTGACCCAAGAACCCGGACATCCCTGACCTGGTTCTTCCCTTTTCTTCTTCTCTTCCTCAGCAAAACTACACCTTTCTTGTTCACCTTGGGAATCTAATCTCTTCTTCTTCCCTCTTTTCTTCTTCTTCCTGGTCCTCTGATCCTCACCACCTGATTCACAACGCTCCCCTTTTCGACCCGTACCGACTTGACCCGTATCTCCTCTGAGTTGGTTTTCACCCGTAAACAAACCATCCCATTTTGCAGAATCAGTAGGCAAGGTCTCTAGAAGAAGCGAATGGGGCAAATGGGTCGGGTCGTTTTCCTGGGTTTGGGCATTTTTATCTACAATATCGGAGAGAGAGCGGTTCAAAAGGGCCGGCTCATTCTGGGATTTTCCTTCTTGTTGTTGTTTATGGAGTTTTTTATAGTAAAAGGAAAAGAATAAGAATAAGAAAGAGAGAGCGAAAGAGAAGAGAAAGAAAAGGAAAAACATTTGGAGGGATTACTTCAAAGTTTAAAAAAAAAGAAAAAACTAAACATAAAAAGAAAGGAAAGAAATGCTATTTATAATTTTGTCACAGATAAAAAATAAAAAAAAAAACTATAGAAGAAGAAGAAGAAGAAGATTTGAAGGTTTAGCCGCCATTAAAACGCGTCACCACGACAAAAGAGAGAGAGAGAGAGAAAGTGTGTGATGTTTTGGATACAAGAGCTGGCTGTTATGTTCCCAGTACCTGAAACAACAATGCCGAAGGCAATATTTGGTATGATAAATTTTGGCAAGTAGTTTTACAGCCGTTGATTTAACTGGAAAGATCAATTGGTCAACGTTACTATATCGGTTTAGTCAATAATTAATTTATTATGTTTTTTGTACTCTCGTTTAAAAATATATATATACATTTTTTTCTTTTAATATAGGAAGTGGTTTTTCTATCACTACCCGAACCAACAACACTAATGGCCAATACTCTCAAATAATGAATGGTTAAGAATTTTAAAGATGTGGAAAAGAGAGGAAAAAAATGGTTTCTAACCAGACTTATCAAACTTTTAGTCTAACCCTTCAATTGATTCTTTTCTTTTGGCCAAAGAACCCTTCAACTGGTTTAGAAATTGGATAAGGATGGAGCACACAGCAATCAAAGCCAACAAAACAAGAATCCAGGAGAAAAAAAAAAAAAACAGTCAAAGATTATGTCTCCATCTCCATCACTTATCTTTGAGCAAATTTTTTTGACACTTCAATTTTGAAGTTGATTTTATCATTGAATTAACAGCTCATCGGTAATCTTCAACATTTATAAAGTTCTACTCTTGACCCTTGCCTCTATTCTTTGCTAATTCCTTCCATTCCATTGGATTGTGCAAACAGTAAACCCTAAAAATATAAAGTTCTTTCCTTCACTCAAAGCGGTTCGAAATGATTGGCGCAGGGGTGTCGAGGTTTTGAAAGAAAATTTGTTTCTTTCTTTTTTCTTGAAGTTAAAGTATACAAGAGGTCAAAGAGTAGTAAAAGCTACTCCTATTTGCTTATTGTTTAATGGTAAAACTATCGGGCATTGGCAGATACTTTGCTTCATTCTCTCCTCTGATTCAACTCATATTGAGCTTGCAAAAGACCCAACCACGTGTAGCCGAAATGAAAATGGTCTAATAAAAATAACCCATTTAAAAGGATGTTGGGTTCGCAGAATATTACACTGCCCTTGGGCTGGGCCTTCACCTTTGGTTTATCTTTGTTGAGGTTCTGATACTTTTCATTAGTTGGCTTTCAGTCAAGTAACAATGGAGCTAATGAATTAGCCTATAGCCCCCTGAATTGTTAGATACCTCCTTCGTTTTTCATATAAGTTTTAAGGTTTTTTTATTTTTTCGATTAAGCGGTGACATGTGAGTAGGTGAGTGGGTTGGTTGCATGGACCAAAGCTGTGTCACCCAACTAATAGATGGAAAAAAATAAAAAAGCCTTCACCATGACTAACAGTGATAGTTCTGCAGGTCATTAATAGATAATCCATATTAATAAGTTTCAGTTAAGAGTGCTGAAAGTAAACCAGACATTGTCCTCGGATTCTTTTTTACTAAGATTATCAAGGATTTAAAAGAGATAAAATACTATAATATTTGCTTCACATGTTAACTGCAACTACTTCTTCAAGTCAACCCAATGATAAATATATATATATATATATATATATATATTCTTAACCAGCTCTTTATTTTGGATCTATGGAACTTGGGCAAGCACAGTTTACTTTATAGAAACAAATAAGGCACATGATCTTAGCAGTTAGCACGGTTAGCAAGGCAAAAGTTAGATTAAAATATAAAAATCATCAGTGATAGATTAAAATATAAAAATCATCAGTGATCATATTGAATAAAGAAAGTTACTTGAGACAATCTGAAAGACTTGATTTTATTATCTTCTCAAGCTATTCTTACAAGAACAAAGCAATGAGGGATTTGCTTCCCAGGAAGTTAAAAAAAATTTCAAAGGCAATAGACTTTACTAGAAACCAGAGGCTTTCCATATCCTACGACGACAAAACATTTGCACAAGGACTCAGCATACACTATCGTCTCATCGCGCTTCTACCGACTTCATCACCTCTTCGAATTCTGTATATCATGCAGGAAGAAACATTCTATATACACATAGAGCTTATCTGCAATCATTTCACGATCTATATGAGCTTTTTACCTAGGGGTGTGTTGTGTATTTTTACAACTTCACCTTGGAAAAGCCAAAACAAATGAAATGGCTGTGATCTTCGAGTGTGTACTTAATTTACCGCCAAAAAGAAAAATGCTGAATGGCATGTTGGATTGAGAGAAAACTAATTGAGATTCTTGTTTATTTCATTACTTGTGATGTGTTCCATCAGCTGCAAATGACCTCCACAGAGAGTTTCTTCATGACACTAGGACATGGGTCTCCTCCAAACATTTCAGGTGCTACAGTCACTGTGCAGAAGTTCTGCCCAACACAGAGCTGCAAGGACAAAGGCATAGGTCAATGTGTATGGGGTAATGAACAAAACTTAAAACCCTACATGAGATACTCGTAAAACCCAAAGAGTAATCACAGCTCAGTCACTGGTTTATTATTTTCAGTATTCCAAATATAAAAGAAGATGAAATAATGTAAGCGAATGTAGCATACCCTATTAAAAGCATCATAAGAGTGGTGACCATGACAGCTTCCTTCACGGTAGCTTCCACAGACCCCTTCTGGAGTTCCAAAGCTGGCAAACTTGACTGCTGAGATTTTCTGCCCAACATCACACTCCAAATGGACTTTTGGCCTTAGGGGTTTGTTGACTTTACCGGAGGCTTGCATCTGGTAATTCATTAGAGTTGGTTGCCACTCATAGATATCAGCACAAACACTGTCAGTTTCTCTGCGGACCAAAGAAATTGCGTTTGGGTCTCCACCCCATTCCTCAAACACAACCAAAAGATTCCCTGTTGGGTTGAGCCATGAACGAGGAACATGATACCTAAATATAAATTAGCAACCACAAGTCAGTCATCAACAATTTCTCGGTTGTAAGAGAAACTTAAAGCAGATTAGTTTGTTCTCTTACCATCTTTGAGAGGCCTCTCCACAATTAGTTCTACATTTATTCTCATTATATGTTCCAGCATAATGACATACATCACAGTTTCCAGATGCTTTATAAGCCGGCCAGTGGCGTCCAATGCTCTGTCCATTTATCCAAATCTGACCTTTTCCCATACTACCCATATCTAAAGCCAATGGAGCATTTCCAGCTGGGGCATTGAAAGTTGTCTGCAAAATTAAGGAAGAATATCAACAAAAGCTAACTAAATGAAGCATTCAGGTGCATTTCTATTTCTACACCTTTTCTAATAAGAACACAATCCAATCAAAATAGTCAACAATTGCTTTTTTCTTTTATGACTATAGGACACCATCAGCTTAGGGCTAAACAGATGCAGGCTTTAAGTGATAACCAAAACATAGTCATGCTTCCTATGCAACTTTTTGTGGTTTGAGATATGGCTTGGTTGTAGTTTGAGATACTTACTTTGTACCACGTCAGTGGCTGCCTCCTTGCCACTAACGACCCCTGTGCCCACTCCACTGATGAACTACCACTTAGTGAATGAAGATTCAACGCTTCTCCCTTAAGGCCAATCTGCAAGGGGATAAATAACCAAATAACTCTCTAGCACATCAGGACAACTTGAGAATGAATGCTACTATGCAAGAAAAAGACCTTGTAAGACCATTTCTGCCATGAGAGATCTCTCCTTCCCTCATTCAGACCATTCAATGTAACTGGGCCAAGAACACCAGCATTCCATGTCTCAAAATGTGGACCAACATTCTGCACTCAAACCACAAATTCAATAATTAATAACAAAATTGCATTGGCATAAAGCTGTCAGCAGAGAGTGAGACATTGAGAGAGCGTACCGGAAGACCAACAGCAATGCTTAGAAGTGAAATTTGATTGATACCAGCTCTCAAATTTACACCTTGGCTGAATGTTAGTTTAGGGAATTCTAGACTTCCATAGGAACTTCCTGAAAAAAAATCAATTAGAGGGAAGAAAAAAATCAGAGGAAGAAAAACTAATTATCCTTAACAAATAGGCACCACAATCCAATATGGTACTATTGAACTACATTCGGTGGTCTAAAAGATAAACCAAGGGAATCTAAACTTCTGTATGTAAGTGCTTTTGTCAACTTAGTACCACTTTCTTCATGTTTTAGTTTACTGATTATTGAAATTTAAAGGAGTGCATTAACTTGCATGACCAAGCATTATAATTTACGTACTACTGCCAAAAGCGAAAGTTATAAGCATATAACACTATATTTCCAGCAATTATTAAATGTTGCTATCATCCAAAGTGGTTCAAAAGCAACCTAAAATCAATGGCAAAAAAAAGGTAACTTAGAACCAAAGACAAACCCACCTGATAGTTGACCATTAACAAAAACATGCAAAGCATGGCCAGCTGATAAGACAGTAAGAATAGGGGATTTTCCATTCTTCAAGAATCCTTCACTGGGGTCAATCTTAACGCTGGGGAAGAAACAGAACATACAAAACATTAGAAAGTCAAATACAGGTAATAAAACCAAGTTCAATAGAAGATTACTTTGTTCCTTAATAAAAAAAATGAGTTGAATAAAGACAAATGATAGAAATTGCAATGAGATATTGCTATTGACTACTTACTATGTTGTATACCACAAATAGTCAGATGCATCTCTGGTTGTATTTATCTGCTCCAACAACCCAACCATTGTGAATGAACTGTCAACATCGGAAGCTGTCTCTTCATTGTATGCCTGCCAAGAGAATCCTCCATGCATGGGAACAGGAACCATTTTCTTCCTTGCAATTTGGGCACCAACCTGCGAAAGTTTCTTATAATGTATAAGCTGTTTTTTATTTCATACTGTCAACAGAAAAAAAACGATCTTCAGTTGATTTCTCTTGTATTAGTTCTATGTAAAAC